AGGGGAGAGGGAGAGAGAGATAGAAACATCAGAGGAAGAGAGAATCATTAATTGGCTTCCTCCTCCACGCCCCACACGAGAGGATTGAGCCTGAAACCCAGGCATGTGCCCTGACTGGGAATCGAACCATGACCTTCTGGTTCATAGGTCAATGTTCAACCACTGAGCCCTGCCAGCTGGGCTTATTTTAGCTTTTTATAGAACTTATACATAGAATTATACAATGTTTATTCTCAGATATCTTTCACTGAGCATAATAATTTTGAGATTCATTTATGTTGCAGCGTGGTTCCTTTTTTGTTGCTTACTAGTATGCCATTGTGCAGATACACTAGTTTATCCGCTTTCCTGCTGATGGATAATTGTGTTTTCTGTGGATTTGTACTTTCTTTTGTATAAGTACTTAGGTAAGAAATTGCTGGCTCATAGGATAGTGTATATTTAGTTTCATATGAAACTGCAAGAGTTTTTTCAAAAGTGGTTATGTGCCCACTCATTTAAATATATATATATATATATATATATATATATATATATATATATATATATATATATACTTTTTATTTTTTTACAGAAAGGAAGAGAGAGGGAGAGAGAGTTGGAAATATCAATCAGCTGCCTCCTGCACACCCCCTACTGGGGATGTGCCCGCAACCAAGGTACATGCCCTTGACCGCAATCGAACCTGGGACTCTTGAATACGCAGGCTGTCGCTCTATCCACTGAGCCAAGCCGGTTATGGCCACTCGTGTTTTTTTTCTTTTTTAAGAGCAGCAACAGTAGATCCTTGTAGGGAAAGGAAGCGAATGAATAACTGGATGCCAACTAGCGGCGAATTAACGGTCCTCAGCTCCGTCCTCCTCCCTGCCCTAATGCAGCTTCAGCTGAATCCTGATTGGTCGGCGGAGGAAGGAGGCGGGGCCAGAGGGAAGCCTCACCTCTGGGGCCGGACTTCCTCCCTTGGCCTCGGGCAGTCCTGGTCCGCCTGGTTCTCTGCCCGCTGCCGCCTTGGTGGGTGGGTGAGTGCGGAGTGAAGGTTCCCTCGCTTCACCCGGAACCTGGTTTGGACGCAGACTCTCAGGAGGAACGGGGTTTTCTTCATTATGAAACTTCCTTCTCTAGAACTCTTTCCTTATGTCTTATCTGCCCTCTCTCACCGGTGGTCTCAGTCCAATCCCCAGGTCATTAATAAAAACAACAATGGCATTAACACAGGACTGGGCAGTTTACAAAATGCATTTTCGATGTTATCTCATTTGATACTTAAAAGAGCCCTTCCCCTCCATCTCATGGTCCTTTCTCTCCAAGCTTTTGCCCTCCTGCATTACAAGGACAGGCTATGCTGTAGACCTTCCAGAGCATTGGGCAGCAGACACTTTTTTTCCTTATAGACATGTTTTTTGTTTGCTGTTGTGTGTGTGTGTGTGTGTGTGTGTGTGTGTGAAATCAATATATATATATTGATTTCAGAGAGGGAAAGGGAGAGATAGATACATCAATGATGAAAGGGAATCATTGATAGGCTGCCTCCTGCACACCCCCTAGTGGGGATCAAGCCTGGGCATGTGCCCTTGATGGAATCAAACCCAGGACCCTTCAGTCTGCAGGCAGATGATCTATCCACTGAGCCAAACTGACTCCTGCTGGCTTGTGTGTTTTTGAAAATTGATTTTTTGAGAGAAAGGAGGGGAGAGGGAGAGAGAGAAACATCAATTGGTTGTCTCCCGTAGGCATCCCAATGCACACCTACCTGAGCAGGAACAAATCCGAAATCTGTGTATGTGCCCTGACCAGAAATTGAACCACTGACCTTTTGGTGTACAGGACAAAGTTCCAACTGACTGAGCCACACTAGTCAGGGCTGTGAACACATTATTATTATTATTTTGTTAATCCTCACTCCAGGGATATTTTCCCATTGATTTTCTAGAGAGAGTGGAAGGGAGGGGGAGAGACAGAGGGAGAGAAACATCGATGTGAGAGAAACACATTGATTAGTTGCCTCCTACGCACACCTTGACCAGGGCCAGGGATCCAGCCTGCAACTGAGGTACGTGCTCTTGACCAGAATCGAACCCTCAAAACTTCACTCTGTGGGCCGACACTATTCACTGAGCCAAACTAGCCAGGGCTGGGGACACTTATTGAACCTCTGGTACAGTTGATCCTCTTTCCTTAAATCCTCTCTTCTCTTAACTAACCCTACTGAATACAAGTCAGTCACTCCAGCCCCTCCCTCTGGAAACCAGCCCCCACCACACACTGTGTACTCCTTCATCAGAGTCTTCTCAGTAACCTCCTACTGGTATATGAGCTCTCCAGCAGGCCTGGATCTTGTGTAGCCTGGTCACACAAAGTGCTGCCAAAACAGGTCATTTAGTAAAAAGCACACACTCTGGAGTCAGATGAGGTTTGAATCCTTGCACCACCACTTACCAGGCAAGTGACCTTAAAGAGGTACAAGCTTTGAATTCTTAATCTGTAAAATGAGGTTAACAGTTGTATTTATTTCATGGATGGATATCTACTTGGGTGAGGATTAAATGAGATACATGCGAAGAGTTTAGTACGGTAAGCAGATAAGAGGCTCCCTAAATTCTTTGAATGAATAGATAAAAGCCAGGATGAAGTATTGGAAAGCACCCCAACTTAGAGCACCCAATAAACTTTGTTGATTAAGTGGTGCACATGTAGCCCTCGCCAGTTTGGCACAGTACATGGAGCCTGTGGACTGAAGCGTCCCAAGTTTGATTCCAGTGAAAAGCACATGCCTGGGTTGCAGGCTTGGTCCCCAGCAGGGGGTGTGCATGAGGCAGCTAACCAATCAATCAATGATTCTCATCATTGATGTTTCTATCTCTCCCTTCCTCTCTGAAATCAATAATATATATATATACACACACACATATACATACATATATACACATATATATGATGCACATGCAAAGCAGACTCCATCACTTTCATAGTTCAAAACTTTCAATGACTTCACATTCCCTGATGTTAAAATGCAGTCTTTTCAACACAGCCTTCAATGCCCTCTCTATACTGAGCTTTGTCTTTCTTCAGCCTGGGCGCTGTAACACACACACACACACACACACACACACACACACACACACATTATTTCAAACCTTCATGCCATTGCCCTCTGCCTAGAATACCTATTCTGGTTGGGTGTCCTTCCTCTCCTCATTCACCCTCACATCTAACAGTTTTCCTATCTGTTTACACGCCTTTCTCTCCTGATGGTCTTGCCATTATCTTCCTGCTATTAGTGTAGGGCCTGGCAAGCAATCAAGGCAAATAGGGTATCTGTGTCGAATGAATGCATGTCGTGTGGAGGCAACAACCAGAGGGCCAGCCTGGGCTGGGTGAGGCTTGGTGGTTATCAGCGTCTCATTCCTCACAGTGGCAGAGCTGGCTGGATATCAAAACCTACCTCACCCCACCTCCACCATGAGCTGCTACTGAGCAACAACATGAATCCCCCAGGGTATCAGTTCTCCTAAAGATGGAATCTGAGTTTCTTGATACAGATCTTCTGAGTCCTCGGGCAGGGGATGCAAAGGCACAACTCTACAGATTGAGGAAATAAAACCTCAGGTGTGGGCTGCAAGAGATTGTCACACACACGGATTTTCTCAGGCCTCTGGGCTGGGTTTTCTTTATCCCTTTAGATAAAGACACCCAGGCCTGAGGGGAAAGTGTGCCTCCATCTTGGCCTTTGGCCCTAGGTCCCCAAGCTGCCCCTTTCCATGTAGGGCTGGAAATGCTTGGGAACCTGTGGGCCAGCAGAAGGCAGTGAAAGGAGAGCTCAGTCAACTGGTGCAGTTGCTGCTGTGGCAGCCAGAGCCAAAGGAGGTCACCATTGATCCCGCAGGCACTTAATTCTTCGTGCTGAGACACGGGGGCAGCTGAGAGCTAAGGGGAAGAGGCGGGGTGGAGTGGGGGGAGGGGAGGCGGTGCTGGAGGATGGGATGTAGCCTTTCTCTCTCTGAGTCTCTGTTTCTCTAAGTGCAGAATGAGGGTGCACGGTGTAACTAACACCATTCTCTGCTGGTCCCTACATTTCACTCCCTAGCAAGGTTGTCAAGGATGCAAGATTACCGCTGAATGGGGGTGGGGGATGGGGGTGGCCCTCAGATATTGGAACCAGAGGAGGGTACAGTTCCGAGCATGCCCAACTGGAGAACAGGCATCGAAGGGAGAACCCTGAGAGCAAGGGGCAGAACCCTCCCCCAAAGGGACTCCGGAGCCCAGCCCCAGCCCCAGGTCTTCCGGTTATATTACTCCCCGGATGGGACTCAAGTTCCAGGCCCTGACCTGCCTGGAGGTTCCAGGGAGAAGAGAACCAGGTCGTCGCCACTGCCCTGGCGTCAGGGAGGAAAAAAGAGGCGCCTCTCGGTGGCCTCACCTCCGGGCCGCCCGGGGCGCTCGGCCACCCCAGCCACTCGGGTCCGGAGACCTCAAAGCGCAAACCGCCGGCGCCTCCGCAGCTCCTAGCCGGGTCCTGCCCCACCCCGCCCCGCCCTCGGGTCCCGCCCGCTCCCGCTCCGCCCCCTCCAGCCGGAAACCCCCCTTCTCTTCCTCCGGGTCCCCCGCACACTGCACACCCATCAGCCCCTCTCCCTCCGCGGGTCCGCGAAGCCTCTCCCCGCCCCGGCCCGCCCGCTTCCTCCCGCTCCGGTTCCCGGTCCCCAGGCCCCGCCCACTCCGCCCAGGCCCCGCCCTCCACAAGGCCCCACCCACCTCCCCGCCCGCCGCGCCGGCCCCAACCCGGGCCCCGGGCCCGCTATCCCCAGCCGAGGCCCCGCCCCCGCCCCGGAAGCCCCGCCCCGCCCCCGGCCCCGCCCCCCCGAAGTTTCTTGGGCCCCGGGCGGCCGGCGGGACAGAGCGCTGCGAGCCGCCGCCCGGCCGCCGCGGATGGAGCTGCCGGGGCGCGCGCGGCGCGGGGAGTGAGCGCACCGCGGCCGATCGGCGGACCCAGCGGACTCGCCATGGAGGAGGAGGTGAGGGCCGGCCCGGCGGGGCCTGGGCCGGGGTCCCGAGCCGCTCACGGCGGTTGGGGTCCCGGGCTCAGGCCCTGCTCCAGCCCCGCTCCCGCAGACGCCGGCACTGCTCCCCACCCCCAGCGGGCAAAGCCAGGCAGGGGCGGCGGGCGGGGTCGTGTCCGGCGCTGCGACGACCCACCCTCCTTTGCTGTCTCTTTGGCTTCGCTCACCACCTGGGGGCATGTTATTGTTCCCATTGGACTGACGGGGAGACTGAGGCTCTGCTGAAGCGGCCTGGGGTGCTGGCCACCGCTGACTCTCCTTGCCGGCCAGGTCGGATCTCAAGGGGGCAGGGGGCAACCTGTGTGTATTGGGGTGTTGTGTGTGTGTGTGTGTGTGTGTGTGGGTTGGGGAGGGCTGTGGGTCCTGGAGCGCCTCTCTGAGGGAATCTCGCGGCTGTGATCTTCCCTGGTGGCCCCATGGCTGGAGGAGTTGCTTTTTTTCTCCCCGTGTGTCCTCTTTACCCTACCCTCTCACCTACCCCAGAGTTGGCTCAATAGGGGCTGATCCTAGCCCCTGCCTTCCCCCACCCCCCTGGGGGCTAGTTCCCGGAAGGAGCTGGGCAGCCGGCCCAGCAGTGCCCCTGTGAGCCTCTCTCTCCCCCCTCAGGACCCTCTTGGTCTGGGGAGGGGTCAGGCACAATGTGACTCCGGCCCTTTACTTGCAAACACTGTTCTCCTAACAGCCCCATCACCCAAACACACTGCAAGCATTTAATGTGTGCTTGTGGAGTGAATGCATTAGAGGAGGGGCCGGCTGAGTGGAGGATTTGCTTCTTGTCGTCTGGGCGTGTGTGTGTGTGTGTGTGTGTGTGTGTGTGTGTGTGTGAGAGAGAGAGAGAGAGAGAGAGAGCGCGCACTTCTGACCCTCTCAGCCCAGGGGAATGGTGTATGTCTGCCTGGGCGGGTGGGGAGGCTACCCTGGCCACCTGGGGAGCCCTGCCTGGTCCCCATCCGTGCCCATTTCCTTTCTGCCCCTGCCCAGGGGCAGCTGGGGTGTCAGGGTTCCCTCCCTCCAGGCCAGGCCCGTGGTTCCTATGGGGGGTAGATAAGTCACTTCCCCTCTCAGCTTGTGTTTCCTCTTCTATAAAATATTGGGCCTGAGGCCTCCTCCCCAGACCAGGCCGTGTGACTGTGGCCCCTTCTCTCAGAGTGGGGGAAGTAGGGGCCAGGCCACTCCACTGTGATTTGCTTGGGCTTCTTGCTTGCAGAGGTAGAGCTGCCCTCCCCGGCCCCAGGCCCTGGGGCCCCTGCTGCGAGGGCCGGGTTGTCTGGCTGGGGCCCCACCTCTTCTCCCAGAGGATGTGGGACAGGATTACTCCATCTTCTGATCTGCTCTGGCCCCCAATTAAGGGAAGTTATCTCGGGGCCTCCTGGGCCATGATTTGTCTCCCACTGGCTCTGAGTTCCTAACGTTGCCACGGCACCAAAAGCTCCGCAAACAGCTGGGTTAACTGAGGTCTTGCTTACCTCTCCCCCACACAGCCAGGGGCTCCCTGACCCCTACTTCCCCTTTGGCTTCCCTAGTTCTTTTCTTCCCGTTTCTCCTCCTCCTCGACACTTACTCTTATCTCCTTAGGCCCCAGTGACCCACCTTTGTTTCTCTTAAGCCCCTCTTAGACCATAGTCACCCCTGCCCTTCATGACCCCTGGCTGGCCTCCTCAGCTCACTCGCACATGGCTGCTTTCAGCTCCTTCCCAGCTTTGAGCTTCCTCCCGCTGTCACAGCCACCCGCGTGCCAAGGCCCCTCAGCCTCAGTGACCTGCTCCGTCAGGCTGAGGCTTGGTGAAGTGCAAGTCTGGGCACTGGGCATCTGTCCACTTGTGCTCCCGTGGCCTCACTTCCCCGCCTATAAAGTGAGAGCGGTGAGATGCAGAAATGCCGTGATATGTGCAGAAGCTTTGAAAGTTGCAAATATCAATGTGAGGTGTTCCTGACCTTGGTGTAAGGCTGCAAACCCTGGACTCTGGCTTTCCCGCTCTGCCCTGGGGTTCTACTCCTTGTCCTCTAAGTCATGCCTTTTTCTGGCTTGGCCTCCAGGCTGTTCATCAGTTGCCCTTTCCCGTCTAGAGAGAGACAGGGCAGTGTGCAGTCCCAGGACTGGTTTTGTTACCTCGAGCTAACCTCTGACCCTTTCTAGGCTGTACTTTCTCATCCTGTAGTGAAGGAGCTGAGACTGTAGGGCCTTTGATACCCTTGGTATCTTTCCTTCTCTGGGCCAAGGGGTGTCTCCTTCCCTCTCCTCCACAGGCCTGTCAAAACCCTGCCTTCTGCAAGGCCTTCCTACCCTGACCGCAAGCCCTTCCTTGCCCCATTAGAGAGCTAGGACTGAGGCATCCCTCCAGTGGGCGCTATGTCCCTCCCAACAGGCCCTCAAGCAGGGTCTGTGCTGCCCCCGTCAGACTGGAACCTCCTCGCAGGGCTCTGGCCTGGTGGGTCCTTAGCAGAGTTTGATCAGAGCATCGCTGGGTTTAGTCAAAGAGCAAAGATCATCATCGTAAGTTCCCAGTGATGTGAGGTGTCAACGCGTTTTCTGCTGGTCTCCGTCCCTCCGTTTTGGCCATTGTTGTGGCTTTCCACCCGCTTCCCTCCTGTGCACAGGGTCAGGGTGACCTGGCATCTTTTTCTTTTGAATGAATGACACAGAGACCTTTCCACCTCAGGCAAAGGGGAGCCAAGCTGGTGCTCGGGGTGCCCCAGTAGCTGCCCACCGTGGGCAGGGGAGGGCCTGAGTAAGGATCGATGGGAGAGGAGAGAGCGAAACAGGAAGCACAGTGGTCAGCTGGTCGAAAGAGGAGAGGAGGCTGAGAACTGAGCTGAGCAAGATAAAACCTCCCTGTGAGCCCTGCCAAGGGGAGGGGCTGCTTATGAAAACTTACTGGCACGTAGCCAGGCCCCTGATGGGGGAATGAATGTCTGAGGGGCAGGGAGAGGAGTTGGGTGAAGGGTGGCAGGCAAGCGGGTCTCCCTTGGGGAAGCTGTTGGTGTGTGGGTGGCTGATTCCTGGTAAGGAGACCCTTCCCTGGGCTTCGGTTCATGCCTCCAGCCCCTCACTTGTCACTCCCCTCAATCCCAAAGCGCCTTCTTGCCTCATCCTGACCGCACCCATCCCTTAGGCCCTGGACTGGCTTCTCTTCTTAATCCAGCCGTGGTGTTCCCTGAGCACTGCTCTGCTACACCCAGAGGGGACTGTGGTCAAGGCACACGTTTCTAGCTTTGCACCTGGGAGCTCCCACCTGGCAGGAAGTTTTCACAATGTCAATAGATGAGGCAGGCAGGGGAGGTCACAGTGGAGGGGCTTTAAAAGGGGCAGTGTGGGCCCTGAGAAGCAGGAGGGGAGCTTGGAGCTTAGGGGTGGGACATCCAGGCAGCACCTTCATGTCCCACTGTCCCTGCTGCCTGGTGTGAGAGGCCTGTAGCCCGCAGGCCTAGGAAGGAGCTAACAATGCTGATTGACATGTGGGGGTGGGATTTCCTGTTTCCCATTTCATCCCTTCCAGCCCTGGGGGGGATGAGGCCCCGAAGGGTCACACAGCCCATGGGGCTGAACATGGGTCTCTGCAGAGGGCGGGAGGGGGATTTGGGTGGGTGATAGGATACAAGAATCTCTTTCATCTTGTCAAGGGCCCTGAAGTCCTTTCTCCCGTCAGGGTGGCTCATACTGGCCTGCAGGCAAGCCTTCCACTTCCTCATTTGTCCATCCGGGAGAATGTTTGGGACCATGCAGCTTCCCCATTTTTCTCATCATCCAAACGTTAGGGAGAGACCCTGAGGTGTGCTCACATTCCAAGGAGCGCCAGGGCCATTCGTGGCCAGTAGCTAAGCCCAGAAAGGGCCTTGTTCTAGATTTCTGAAGTCGGCCCAGGGAGAGGTCCTGAGAGGCAGAGGGCGTGGCAGTGACAACAATAACAATAACAGCAACTGCCATTTTCTACCTGGGTCTCCCAGGCACTGCTTTGTGTGCCACGTCTTAATCCGGCAAACACTGAGCACGACTGTGTCCTGGACGTTGTCTAGGCATGAGGACAGAGCAGTAAACAAAACAAGATCACCGTCCTCGTGGAGTGATCATTGCCGTTTCTTTTCTTTTCTTTTTTTAAAAACGTATTTTATTGATTTTTTACAGAGAGGAAGGGAGAGAGATAGAGAGCTAGAAACGTCGATGAGACAGAAACATGGACCAGCTGCCTCTTGCACACCCCCGACCCCCAACCGGGGATGTGGCCACAACCAATGTACATGCCCTTGACCGGAATCGAACCCGGGACCTTTCGGTCCGCAGACCAACGCTCTACCGCTGAGCCAAACCGGTTTCGGCAGATCATTGCCATTTCTATAGTCATGCCTATCTCCATGTCACAGCTAACACTGGGAGACCACGTGACTTGCCTCTGGCCTGTGTGACTTGGGCTTCAGTGCTCAGATCCCCAGCTGTCGTGCAGAGGGCTGGGTGCAGCTCAGTGAGAACCAGGTTAGGGCTTCCCTGCCATGATGGAAAGCAGAGAGGCTGTGCCCTCCCCAGGCCCCTGGCAACTCACCACACGTCCATCTGCCTGGGCTTGTCCTTCCAAAGGCAGCTGTGGCTACAGGGCATCCCCTAGGGAGAAGCTGCTTTTAACTGGGGCCACTTTTTTGAGCTTTATGTAAATTACAGAGTAGCCAAAAATTAGTGCTAATTTCCTTCCAGCACCCTCTAGATTCTGACGTTGCTCTTGATCCCTTCCCCCTCACCTTCCCCTTCACACTCACTACTGTGCATACCAATCACTGAAGCAAAGTGGTTAGCAAGTTGCATGTATTTTTATTTTCATTTCACAGATATTTCTCGAGCACCCGTTACAGGTAAAGGAACAGTGCTGGGTGCTGGGGACCAGAGGTGAATCTGACCCACCTGGTAGGAGGTGACCCCCCCTTATATACACCTGGCACCCAGCTAACCAAGCAGGTGGTGGAGGGGCACAAGATGTCAGGGGCTGGCCTGGAGGCCCCAGGGTGGCTGCCATGTCTTAGAGAAGGACTCTGGTCCAAGGCAAATCCCTCGGAGCCTCACCAGATGGGGTGGCCGCCCCCAAGTCCTGGGCTCGGGTGGGGAGGAGCGCAGAGGAGCCTCCTGTTTGGGGGCAGAAGCAGGAGGTTCCAAGGGTTTACTAGGTGAAGGGCAAGCAGGAGGCAGCTTACCACCCTGCCTGTTTCCCTCCCCTCATCCTTCTCATTCTGCTCGCATGTCCTCTCCTCCGTGGGGCCTGCACTGTCCTCTCTCACTTGCCAACCCCTTCACTCTTTCCTTCGTAGCATTTCACACTGGATGTGTTTATGTCTAGTGTTCATTTGTCCAGCTCCTCCTTTCCTAAGTTGCCAGCTCTCTGAGGGCAGAGGTCCATCATTTGTATTCCTCTCTGCCTGCTCCAGCATCCGTGGCACTGCCGGTGCTCAGGACAGCATTTGTTGGCTGGTTGAATGAACACATGGGAGGTGGAATTGTGAACTCTGGCTCTGTCCTTCCCGCTGTGTGACTCTGGCAAGTTATCCTTCTGAGTTTGCTGTGCCATGTAGGTAATGGTGCCACCGCCTTGGAGGGTAGGTGTATGGACTAGCTGAGACAATGTGTGAAAATAGTGGCTCAGCCGAAACCGGTTTGGCTCAGTGGGTAGAGCATTGGCCTACGAACTGAAAGGTCCCAGGTTCAATTCCAGTCAAGGGCATGTACCTTGGTTGCGGGCACATCCCCAATAGGGAGTGTGCAAGAGGCAGCTGATCGATGATTCTCTCTCACTGATGTTTCTAACTCTCTATCCCTCTCTCTTCCTCTCTGTAAAAGATCAATAAAATATATTAAAAAAAGAAAAGAAAATGGTGGCTCAGTACAAGGGGCTGCTGCTAATATTGCTGTTGCTGCTGTTATCACTGTTATTTCTAAGGCTGGGTTAAGAATATTTGCCTGCCGCCGAAACCAGTTTGGCTCAGTGACTGGAGCGTCAGCCTGTGGACTGAAAGGTCCCAGGTTCGATTCCGGTCAAGGGCATGTACCTTGGTTGTGGGCACATCTCCACTGGGGGTGTGCAGGAGGCAGCTGGTTGATGTTTCTCTCTCATCGATGTTTCTAACTCTCTACCCCTCTTCCTCTCTGTGAAAATCAATAAAATATATTTAAAAAAAAAAGAAGAAGAATATTTGCCTGGAGGTTGTGGCGAAGCCCACATGGGAGGATATTAGGAGGCTCCCAGCAGAGGGACGTGTCGCTAGTTTGGCCTGTGGACTGTGTGCCCCCATGTGGCAACCCTCATGGTACGTCTGTCTCTGTCTTCCAGGGGGTGAAGGAGGGGGGCGAGAAGCCCCAGCGAGCGCGGACGGCGGACAAGGCGGGCTGGATCAAGAAGAGCAGCGGGGGCTTCTTAGGGCTCTGGAAAGACCGCTACCTGCTCCTCTGCCAGGCCCAGCTGCTGGTCTACGAGAATGAGGTGAGCAGAGCCTGAGGCGGGTGCTGAGGCGGGGGACAGGGCAGCGGGGGAACCCAGAGCCGGGACCGGAGGATCTGTTCCGTTTTTGCCATTGCTGTGCCGCCCTGGACGAGAACCTGACCTTCAGGTCTCCGCGGCTCGGGGCGGGCGCTCCAGGTGCTAGCCTAGGGCTCCTGGCTGAGGGGCTGTTGGAAGTGTGTGCGTAAGGGTGAGTGTGTCTTCTCAAACCCACAACCCACTCCCTGGCGCTGGGGCAGGTTCCACATTTGTGAATGTTCCAGAAACTGAAGCTTGCTCCATTTGTCAATGATAACGGAAGTAATACTAACCGCTGGTGCCTGTCTAGAGCTCTTGTATGAGACGCGACAGTCCCAGGAGTGCAGTCATCATGTCATCGTCTACAAGGTGGATCCTGAGGCTGCGGGCGGCCAAAGGACCGCTCAGCATCTCTGTGAGGGAAGGAGCCAGGTCTAGAACCCGATCCAGTGCTCTTTCCACTCACTGATGCCGGCAGTTGCACGCTACAACCTGTTTTGGGTGAATACTCTCTGCCTTCTTCAGAAGAAGGCACCAGCCTTCATCGAGTCTGTCCTTGTGGCTCCGAGTCTCTTACAATCAGACTGTACCTCTCGTCTTTTCTTCCCCCTTTAACGTGGAGCTACCAGTTGCTGCTTCGCCACTTCTGCCATCCTGGTGCCTTGCACAGCCCTCAGGTTTTCCCACCACAGGCCTGGCCCCGCCTCATTTCAGCAGGCTTGGAACCTGGACCGCAGGATGCTAACACTGGTGTTCAGAGTTGAAAAACCTCTTGGTGACAACCGGAGGAGGAAAGGTCTTTCACTTACGACGTGTGTGTCCTGGGTTGGGGCATAGACGGCCCATCCACAGAGAATGGGCTGTCGCTGTGTGCCTCCCACAGTGGAATACAGGGAAGATTCTGCCTATTCCTCCTCAGCCTCTCTCCGCGTGCCCCGGGGTACCTTGGCACATTCATAATCGTCCCGGGCCAAGAAAGATGGGGTGCCCCGGTCTCCGTGATGAAAGGAGCTACCCTTGAGAAGCACGTTGCCTGTCTTTCCCGAGGCCCAGGCTCATGGAGTTGGGTGTCAGAGAAGCAGCTGGATGAGTCGTTCAGGAGGGTGTTCTGTACCGCTGCTCTCGGCAAACGAGGAGGCGCTGTGGCGGCAGCAAGGGGATGTTTTTATAAATAAAGGGTGTTGTCAAAGCTTCCTCCAGTGCCAGCTGCCTCGGAGTTGAGTGACAGGTCTCCAGCTGCCAGCCTGCCAGGCACTGCCAGACTTGTCCTGGGCTGCCCCTCCACATCTGGCCACAGCTGGGGAGCAGGAAGGATCTTGCATCCCCTAAACATGAAAAACCTAAATCACCCTTTTAAAATAATCACTGTTAAAAACCTCAGCGAAGCGCCAGGAACTTAGCCCTCTCAGGGTGGGGTGCTTGGCCCGGGAGTAGGAATTGAGAAATGCTTATTAGTTCAATTCCTCTTTCTTGATGTAAGGAACTAGGCGAATGAGAATGGCTCTTGGCTGTCTCTTGGCCGTCAGTGAGGCTGACGTTCCAAAAACGCTGCCCCCGCCCAGCGCCTGCTGGGTTATCCGTGTCTCTCAGCTGCACAAGGGCCGGATGATTCAGCGATTCGGGTAAGAGGAGGCCCGGGTCAGACAGCCGTGGGGGGCTGGGCGTGGCGATGAAGCACCTTTGTTTTGGGGCCAGCAGTTGCCCGGCTGGGGGAAGCATGTGCACATGGGGCAGGTGACCGGCACCTTCTGCAACTGGGGGTCCTTTTGCAGGCAGCCCCTTCCTCTGGGGTCTCACTGCGTCAGGCGTTCAGTCCGGCAGATGGTCCTCTGTATGTTGCTCGTGAGCTGCTTCTCTGTGGGGCAGTAGAGGGGGGACAGAAAGGAGAGGAGAAATAAGCAGCACAGGGGAGAGAGTGAAGGCCCGGCAGGAAGCTAGGACTGCTCTTCCCACAGCAGAGGGTCCCGAGCATCGAGTTGGGTGCCTGCACCAAGCAGGTGCTTTGTGGATGGGGGACCTCAAAGGAGCGAGGTGGCACCAAGGCTTGGGCTCCTGGGGTGAGCAGTGAGCGTCCTGGACCCGGTGGATTGTGCTGTCCCCATGTCGAGTGGAGAAATGTGGGAGGGATTAAAGACTAGGGGTTGGAAAGAGATGTGCAGAGGCAAAAATGGGAAAGACACCTGATTGTACCTGGATGGGGAAAATCAAGCTGCCTGGCCATATGGTCCCCTTTCCCTAGGGCTGAAGGGAGGGTACACCAGTGGTTATCCACTTTAGCTGTACAGTCATCTGCTCATGTCTGGGCTCCACCCCCCAGGGATCCTGATGTAAATGATCTGGGATGTTGCCTGGGCTTTGGGATTTTTATTTATTTTTTAATCCTTACCCAAGGATATGTTCCCATTGATTTAAGAGAGAGAAATTATTGATGTGAGAGAGAAACATCATTTGGTTGCCTCTTGTACCTGCTCTGATTGGGGATCAAACCCACAACCCAGGCATGTGTCCTAACTGGTGACTCTCAAACATGTGACCTTTTCTGGTGTATAGGATGATGTTCTAATCAATTGAACCACATGGCCAGGGCTGGAGATTGGGATTTGAAAAAAAAAAATAATAATTTTTTTTTAAATTAATTTCAGAGAGCAAGGGAGGGAGAGAGGGAAATAGAAACATCAGTGATGAGAATCATTCATCCGCTGCCTCCTGTATGACCCATAATGGGGATCGAGCCTGCAACCTGGGCATGTGCCCTGACCAGGAATTGAATTATGACCTTCTGGTGCATAGGTCAATGCTCAACCACTGAGCCACGCCAGGCAGGTGGCACTGGGGTTTTTAAAGGTCCCAGGGCCACTGAGGTTGAGAAACAGAGTTTCTCAAACTTTTGAATACATTAGAATCAGCTGGAGGGCTGTTAAAACTCAGATTTCCCCTAAGACGATGACTCGTTAGGAATGGAGCCAGAGAATTTGCATTTCTCACACGTTCTCAGGTTCTGCTGCTGCTGCTGGACCAGCTACCACACTTGGGGGACCCCTCGGCCCTGCCCCTGCCGCCTCTGCCCTGGCAGGGGGAGCGCTGAGCCGGGAAGGGCTCTGGCCTGGAGTCAGAGGGCGTGGGGTTGAGTTTGGCTCTGGCCCCTTAAGCTTGGGTCTGAGCTCCTAGGGCAGATCAGTTCACCTCCAACTTCATTCTCTTCCTCTACAAAGTGAGGCAGTGGGTTGGTTCCAGGACCTTTGTGGATACCAAAATCCATGTGTGCTCAAGTCCTTGATATACATGGAATAGTATTTGCATGAAACCTACACATGTTCTTTCGTATACTTTACATGATCTCTAGCTGCTTATGCTATCCATCCAATACAATGTCAGTACTATGTAATCAGTTGTTTAGGGCATAATGGCAATAAAGAAATGTCTGTACATGTTCATCAAGAAGCAACCATGGCCGGGACCATTTTGGCTCAGTGGATAGAGCGTCGGCCTGCGGACTGAAAGGTCCCGGGTTCGATTCCGGTCAAGGGCATGTACATTGGTTGCGGGCACATCCCCAGTGGCAAGTGTGCAAAAGGCAGCTAGTCGATGTTTCTCTCTCATCGATGTTTCTAACTCTCTGTCCCTCTCAATTCCTCTCTGTGTAAAATTGATAATATATATATATATATATTTTTTTTTTTTTTTAAAAAGAAGCAACCATGGTAGGCCTAACTACATAACACATGTCGGCAACAATGTAACTTTTCTCCCCAAATGTTTCTGATTGGAGGTGGGTGGAATCTGTGGATGTGGGGCCCTTGGAAACAGTATAGGCAGATTCATGGAGGGAAATGAGGGCATTTCCTCTGCAAATATTTGAATCATCGTTTCCCAGATATTCCATCCAAACCTGGGAGCACCGAGAGGGCCTGGAGGGGGTGCTCCTGCTGGCTCCACGTGACGTCAAACTGCAGCTCCACGTGGCCAGTTCCTAGGCCTGTGCCTCCCCAACCCCTGCTGACCCAGGCCTGTTTCTGTTTCCCTGGAGTCTCCAGGGAGAGACTGTGCCACATCAGGAAGTTGTTCCCGCTAAGTCTTCTGGAAGAGCCGCCAACTGATCATCACTGAGGGAGGGGCTTGTCCCAGGCAGCTTGCTGAGAGGCACCTGGTGGAGAAAGCACTCAGGTGCCAGGCCTGGTGGGTAAGAAGGGAGTCTAGCCCAGGTCCAGGAGTGGCCTAGAAGAGGCTGACCACTGTCCTGGCCACTGGACTTCTGTTGATGGGGCCTCAGGATGACAGCCTAGGGGTGGGGTGCTCTTAAAGGAACCACTGCGCTCTCCATTGTCCCCGAGCCAAGGGTCAGCGGAGGAAGATGCCAGTAGAGAACCAGCTCAGGGTCACTGTGGTGAAGGCAGGGATGTCGCCCCAAGCATGCATGTTCACGCTTCCCTCTGTGGCTCTGCCTGGAAAGCCTTTTTCTTTCTTTTTTATTTATTTTAAAATATTTTTTGTTTAAAATATTACATATATTAGCACATATGTCTCCCTTCCCCCCACTGACCTTCACCCAGCCTCCCTTACCCCACCCCCCTCCCCAGTGTCTGTGCCCATTGGTGTGCTTATATGCATGCGTACAAGTCCTTCGGTTGATCTATTTTTCCCCCTCCCCGACAATCCCCAGCCTTCCCGCTGTAATTTGACAGTCTGTTTGGTGCTTTGCTGCCTTTGTGTCTACCTTTTTATTCATCAGGTTATAATGTTCTTTATTTTCCATAAATGAGATCATGTGGTATTTTTCTTTCACCGCCTGGCTTATTTTACTTAACATAATGCTCTCCTTCTCTCCATGCTGCTGCAAATGGTAAGGATTCCTTATTTTTTATAGCAGCGTAGTATTCCATTGTGTAGATGTACCATAGTTTTGTGATCCAGTCATCTGCTGATGGGCACTTAGGCTATTCCTAAGTCTTAGCTATGGTGAATTGTGCTGTTATGAACATAGGGGTGCATATATCCTTTCTGATTGGTGTTTCTAGTTTCTTGGGATATCCTTTTTCTTTTTTCATTTTGTGACAACTTGCTCCCTCTTCCAGGCTACCTTTTCCGCACATCTCTGCCTGGCCTCTGGGCCTGCACGGACCCCCAGGCACCCTTTCTGAGCCTCTCGAGCTTTCTGGGTTTCCTCCTACTCCTTAGGAACATTTGAGTCAGCACTGCTCCCCATCTCCGGATGGTGAGCCCCATCTCACGTGCATTGTGAGCCTTGAGCGTGTCCCTCCAGCCTGAATGCTGGATTCACAGACTGAATGCCGGGGACTGAATAGCTCATCTTGGTGATTGATTGGCAGGCTGGGGTCCCCCTCTGACCAAGTGATGTCCTCATTGGTTGGGACCAGGGTCTGAGGCGGGGCCTGGGTGTCTGAGGGCCTGGCTGTGCCCTGCTCTCACCACTTCATGTCCCCTCTGTCCCCCCACAGGACGAGCAGAAGTGTGTGGAGACAGTGGAGCTGGGCAGCTATGAGAAGTGCCAGGACCTTCGTGCCCTCCTCAAGCGGAAACACCGATTTATCCTGCTGCGATCCCCAGGGAACAAGGTAGGGCAGAGCCTGCTGGGCTGGACGCTCCTGCAGGCTGGGTCCGCTTGGGAAGGCCCTCCCTGGAGGCTTCCGAAGACGGGCTGGGCCCCGGCTGCAGCCGTGCCTTCGCTGTCGAGTGTGCCTGAGGCTCACACCCGGGGCTGCCACAGGTGGGACCCGTTGCCGGTTTGGTCCTGGAGTCTCCCCGCCCCGGGTGACAGGAGATGCGTCTGCTGAGCGCTCTGCTCCCCTCTTCCCTCCAGGCTCTGGGGCCTCCTCCCAGGCTGCGGTTGGAAAGTAGCCTTTGGGAGGTGGGGCACTTGGCTTTCTCCCACTCCCTGGACACAGGAGGCCCGGGGCTGAGGCAGGGGAGCTGGGACGAGGCTTCCATCCCACCAGACCTGACACTTACAGTCCGGGCCAGAGGGGAAGGAGGGCTCCCTGTGCCCCGGGCTTCCTGGGTGGGCCCTCTCCCCTGGACTCGCTCCTTGGAGGCTGCAGCCTCCCAGCTCCCCTCCCCTGCACGCTCCTCCTGGCCAATGCTGGGAAGGCCTCCTGCCTGAGAGCTTCTCTCCCGGCCGGGACATGCTGTGTGTACAGATGAGGTCTGCTGTTTGCACCACATGTCTCTGGCAGGCAGTTCGGGTGAGTGACGCTGGCGTCGTTTCACAGATGTCAGGAGCGAGTCCGATTGGGGTTGGCGTGTACAGTCAGTGCCTCTGGCCAAACCCCCCCCTTCTGCATGGGTCACGCCTCTCCCGACCTCTGCACGTCATGCGGGGCCTCCCGGAGTGGGGCTGAGTCACCGCCGCGGGGGTGGGGACGGGTCCGGGCTGGGCCTGCTGGGGCCTTTCTGTTCTCCGCCAGGAGCCCAGTCTGTTCGCTCACTAATCCGTGGCCCTGCTCTGCCTGGGTGAGGGCAGAGAGGCAGCCGTGGGCAGGCTCTGACCCTGGGGTTGGGGGTGTGCCCAGGGGGCGGGGGCAGTTTATAGTGTCCTGAGGGCTCACGGGGCTGGGCCCAGGTTTCACGTGGCATCTGCTGCTGAGGGCACTTTGAGGAGAGGAGAGCCGTGTTTTGGTCTCTGGCCAGGAGCCCCTGTCCTGTGGGGAGGCCGCTCTCTCTGGGGGGCGCTCTGTGTGTGTATGTGTGTTTGAGAGACATGGAGCTCATTATGCATGAAGGACGCACCTGTGTGTCCAGTGCACGTGTGTGCACCTCTTCGTGTTCACCTGGCCACAGTCTGTGTGGGTCTTTGCGTGTCTTAGTGAGCTTACGTGGCTGTGGAGCAGAGGGGACCTGGCTTCTGTCCCTGCCAGTCCTGGCCCCTCCTTTTTCCCATTCTGAGGATCAGCTGGTGGTGGGATAGGTGGGCAGGCCCAGGGCAGGGGGGGACATTGCCTTCGAAGAAGCCTGTTTGTGTATTTACCTTCTCGCCTGCTTCAGCCAACACCTCCCCCCCATTCCCACATCTTCAGAGGTCAGGGCGGCTCTGGGAACAGGGTGATCAGTAGGGAGTGCGCTGTGGAGCAGCTGGTGGGGGCTGCAGAGCAGTGGGAGGACAGCACACCCTGATTCCAACTCAAGGGCCCCCTGACCCTCGCCACCCCAGGAGCTCACACAGAGAGTACCACCCAGAGTACCACATCCCCCGCATCCTCACCCTCCTTTCCTATCGCCCTGGGTGTTCCCCATCCTCAGTGACGCTGCCCGCTGCCTGGGAGGTCACATGACCCCGCTGTCTGGTCCCAGGGCCGCCTGTTTTTCCTTCTAATCAAATAAACAAAGACTCCAGTGTCCTGCATGGCCCGCTCCCCCCATCTCCCCATCCCCACGCCCCTGCCATGAGGTCACAGGGAGATGCTGCCAGGAAGCAGGGTGGCCGCTGCTGGGCCTTGCTGCCTGCTGGTCCCAGCCAGCTTGGCCCTTTCCTTTTCCTGCCTCCCCTCCCCCTCCCACTCTTTGCCCCTCTGCCATTCTGTCCTCCCCCCTTCCCCAGGCCAGTGTGGGTCTATTCTGTGGCCAGACCTGTTAGGTCCTAAAGGCCTTTGCTCCTGGGGCTTCTTGGAAGGACTTGGGCAGAGACCTGTGTGGCCTGGGGCCCTTCAGGACATGGGGTGGGGGTGGGGCAGGAGGAGCCGCCTCTTGGTATTCTGCTTATCCCTGTTCTCATCACCCTGTGGGATGCCTGGCTCCTTCAGCCAGAATCGCAGGGCTCCTGAGGGTGGGGCCGGGTCCCATTTCACCTTGTATTCCTTCTCCTAGGGTGGCCCTTTGGCCCACACCCTCCTCCCCACAGCCTGCCTCAGGTGGGCTGGCCCGCGGGGAAGGCCACAGTATGGGTTGGGTTCAGTGGTTCTGTATTTGTCCCTTTGAGGCCCCAAGTGAAAAGACATGCAGGGTAAGACTAGAATCTGAACTTGACTCCCAGGCCAGTGGTCTTTTTCGCCCCACGCCTGCTGCATTTATTGCTGTATTCAAGTCCAGGCCTCCCAAGCTCTCTGGGATGTTAAGTTCTGCACCAGGCAGGGGCCCACCAATCAGGGCCTGCAAGCAGGAACAGCAGCTGGCTCAGAGGCACTGGCCCTGGTCCACCTTTTCACAGCCCCATCCCAGGGTTGGGTGGGACCTTGCAGAGCCTGGATGTTCCTCCCTGAGCTCCCGGCAGCCCTGATGGCCGGGCTAAGAGGCAGTTGCCAAGGTGCCCTAGGGTTTCTGACTTAACTGCAGATCTGCTGCCAGGATCGAATTTACCCTGGTCATGCAAATGAGCATTTGGCTGTGCCTGGCATGGGGAGGCGGGTGGGACCCAGGGCCTGGTATGAAGAGAAGCGGGAGGCAGCCAGGAGGAAGTTATATAATGAGGATGCTGAGGGGCCAGGGGGACTTCAGTGTTACATAACTGGGAGAGTGGTGGGAGGAAGGCGCTAACACGGGGGGCGGGGGGCGGGGAGAGAGAGGAGGGGTGGACAGGCTGGCGACCTGCCCAATAAAGAACTAGGACATCTTGAGGTCAGAGAGTGGGCAATGGCCCAAAAATAGGGTAAGGGAAGGAACCTTGGGCTAGTTCATTCACTAATTGGCTCATTCATTCAGTAACTATTTACTGAGTACCTACTGTGTGCGGCCCCTGGCTTTAGTCAGGTTGAATTCCCTCAGCATTTTTTCTCGATGAGGAAACTGTTGGGCTGGTTTTTTATTGTTTTTTTGTTTTTAAATGCTTTTATTGATTTCAGAGAGGGAGGGAGAGGGAGAGAAAGAGAAACATTCATGATGAGAGAGAATCATGGATCGGCCGCCTCCCACACGCTCCACACTGGGGATCGAGCCCACAACCCGGGCATGTGCCCTGACCAGGAAGTGAACCCTTCAGTCCACATGCTGACACTTGACGCGCTAGCCACTGAGCCAAACTAGCCAGATTGGGGCTGTTTTGTCCAGAAGGAAGGCCATGGTGATAATTTCTACTACTGAGCACTCTATGCCCAACTCCAGATCTAACACTTCAAATGTCAGTGACCCTCACAGCTCCATAGGCAGATCATGATGGTGGTCTCCCTTTACAGACGAGGAAACTGAGGCTCAAGGTCGACCAGCTGTAAGTGGTGGTTTGTCCAGTTCAGAGACTCCACTGCTGTGTCCACCGTGCAAAGCAGCCTCTCAGTTTGTGTGCCTCACACCCTCCTTCATTTTCTATCTGACCTTGGGGCCTGGCAGGTGGGGGGCTGGGGGGTCTCCGTGCTGCCTTCTGAGTCTAATACAGGAGCTGGGAGCTCCGGCCCAAGATGGAGAGGGACTGTGGGGTGGGTGGCTTAGGGTCTGGAGTCAGGAGTCACGGGATTACGTTAGGCCACCGTGGTCAGATGTCATCCCATCTGGTGAGACTCTGCGTCCTCATCTGTAGAACCCCAATGCCCTTCCTTACAGTCTACGGTCCAAGGCCAGAAAGGAGACCTGGATGTTTTTACTCGCGGCCAGGACTGCCTGTGGTGCCCCCTGGGAGCTGAAGATGATTCAGTTCCGGTGGGCCTTCACCGTGGACCCCCTCATGCCTGTCACCTCTGTCACTCAGTCCCAGGAGACCAGCCTACTCCTGCTTCAGAGAGAGCACGCCCCGAGCTCCCTCCCCAGGGCAAGGCTGGTTCCAGTCTGAGTCTGACCGCTCACGCGGGGATCGAGCCCTTTCTCGGCTGGACCTGCCCACCCTTCCCTGAAGCCCCAGTGCGGGTCTTTGTGGTTTGCTTCCAGCCAGCTTGGGATTTGGGGTGGGGAGCTTCCTTAAGACCCAAATGTGAGCCAGGTTTAACATCTGCCATCTCCCCCACCCATGCCCCCTGCAGGTCAGCAACATCAAGTTCCAAGCACCCAGTGGGGAGGAGAAGGAATCCTGGATCAAAGCCCTCAATGAAGGGATCAGCCGAGGCAAGAACAAGGCTTTCGATGAGGTGCGGTGAGGTCCTGCGGACAGACAGCCCTGTGTTCCCTTTCCCCTGTGTGAGCTGAGAGGACCCTGCCCCGCCTCACCTCAGGTTATGTCACTGCTACACACTGGCCGGGCTGTTGTTACCTCATTTAATCCTCACAGCACCCCTCAAAGTAGGTGGTAGCATCCCCACTTTACAGTTGAAGAAACTGAGGTGTAAGGAGATTAAGTGACTGGTTAAAATGACAACATGGGTGAGAGGTGGGGTAGAATTTACAGGCTTGTAGTCCAACAGCCGGTGGGCCCAGCCAGAGAGGTTTGGGGGTGAGCTGACAGCCAGAAAGCTCACTTTTCAGTTTGGCCATGAAGTGTAAGCCAGTGTCTGCCCGCAGTGGCCACCCACCCCCTGCGCTGGAGTGGTGACAGTGGCCACAGTCAGGCTTGGGGCAGGCAAGGTGTCCTCTGGACCAGATCTCCCAGGGAGGATTATCTTTGACATCGTGGGGTTTTAGCTCTTTGGGCTAAGCTGGTCCTGGAGGCTGCCTGGGGTGGCCCTTGGACTGCAGAAGTCTGAGACCTGAGGGGAGCAAAGCTTCCCAAGGCCCCTGACTTGGGGCTCAGCTCCTAGTTCATGTCTCAGTGGGACTGGCATGCTCAGAGCTTCCCCTTTTGTGGGGCAGGGTAATGGGGGCATGGGCTGGGTCTCTGAGGAACAGACAGTTGGACCCCCAGGTGGCCTGAGCCTAAGCCTGAGCCTGACCTGGGGGCTGGACAGTCTCAGCGCCCCCTTCTCCCCCCATCAAAGAGACAGGCTGCTCTGGGATTCAGAGCCTGGATTTCCATGTGAATCTCACTCCGTGTCTTCCTGGGCTACTCCTCACCCTTTTCCTTCCCTCAGAGAGGAGCTGCTGCCTCTATTTGCTCTGGCCCGAGGGTCCCGGGGCAGCAGCCGGGACGGGGCAAGGCCTGTTCTGGAAGTAGATACCAGGGTATCCTGGGCTAACTCCTCGCCCTCCCCCAGCTAAGCCCAAACGCAGCCTCGGGGCCACTTACATATTTGCAGTAGACCGCGGGGCAAGGGCTGACAGCCCATATTAGGGCAGGAGACTGAGCCCAAAGAGGGCAGCCACTAAGGCAGGGCAGAGACAGGGGGCAGAGGTCGATCATGGGGAGCTGCTTCAGAGAGAGGCAGCGGCGGGGCTCTCACCCTGTGCGTGAGGATGTGGGTACGGGCTGTGACTCTGAGTTAACACCTGGGCATTTCCTTCTCTCCCCAAGGCCTGGTGGGGACTGACCTGGTTCCTTCTCCTTCCCAGATAAAGGTGGACAAGAGCTGTGCGCTGGAGCATGTGACCCGGAACCGAGTGCGCGGGGGCCAGCAGCGCCGGCCGCCTACGAGAATCCACCTGAAGGAGGTAAGATTGCCCCCAGCCTGGACAGATGGGCGGGCAGCTGAGCCTGGGACCCCAAGCTCCTTCGGATGGCAGCCAGGCTCGGCCCCCTTTTTCCTGAGGACCCTGGAGCTGGTGCTTCCTGGGCGGTGCGGGTCTGAGCGCAGGCACAGGTGTCAGTCGTGCTCAGCGTGTAGATGTGCCTCCTGCGCTGTGAGCCCACACGCCGGCCTCGGCCAGAGTTGGTGCCTGAGGGATGCAGATCCCAAGTGGTCTGTGCCTCTCAGAGCCCAGCTCCCAGCTGGAGAGAGATGTGCAGGCAGAGCTGTGTCTAGTTTTTGTACAGAGGACCCCCTGGCGCCTGAGCAGCCCTAGAAGGACGGGAAGGGTTTCAATTGGCAGATGTGGCGGGAGGACGGGGGCTGGTGGAGGGCGTGAGCTGAGGCAGGAGGCAGGAGAGTGCAAAGCGTGCCAAGTCCCTCTGGGACAGCTTTCAGGGAAGCGGGGGTCAGGGGGAGGAAATTGGGAAGACCTTGAATGCCGGAACTGAGGACAGGATGGGTGGGAGGCTGTGTTCCAGAGGTCAGTTTGAGGCCCAGGCAGCAGGAGTTTGGATTGAGGGGAGGAAAGGTAGGGGGCCAGGAGGAAGAGGAGCAGTGGGGGCTCCAGGCTCCCAGAAGGGTTGGAAAGGGAGGGCCAGTGGGGGAGAGACTGAGAAGCAGGAGTCAGCCGGCTTGTGATTGCCCTGCAGGCTGGGGGAGCACCCTAGGCAGATGAGGGGGGTTGTCAGAGGAGCCTCCACACCTGGAGGCTGGGCAGGTAGAGGCCCCGGGCACAGGGAGTTTGGGAGAAGATATGGGCAAGAGGAGGGGTGACTGAGGAGCCCCTTTCAGACCATTGTTGCTGGGGGGTGGGTGGTGGGGTGGTAGAGACCTTGGAGGTCGGGACAGAACCTCAGCACATTCTACATTTGGGGGGTGGGGCAGTAAAGAGCCAAGGAAGAGGAGGCCAGAGAGGCGAGTGGCACATCCAGGGAGAGAAGGCACAGGACCCCTGGCACATCCAGGGAGAGAAGGCACAGGACCAGCCAGGTTGGCACCCACAGTCACAAGGGCAGGATGAGGGACAGGCAGGTGGTAATGCTTATGCATATTCACTCAGAAAGGTCAGCTTGGGGCTGTCATTGGGTGCAGAGCTAAGGTGCTGGAGAGGGGGACCAGAGGAAGAAAGAGGGGGAAGAGAAGGGGCAAGGTCCCCGGAGAGCTTGCTTTGAGGTGAGGCAGCCTGTTCCTGCCTGTCAACCGAGGGGAAAGCTGCAGAGGGGAGGACTGAAGTAACCAGAGGGCAAGGCAGACCTGAGGTGGGAGATGTAGGAGGTGCCGGGAGGGCCAGTTTTAGGGGAGACCCTGTGAGGAGACTTCAGGGAGGGACGCTCATCCCAGGGACTGAACATGTGTCGCCAGCTCACCTGTGTGCATGTAGAGGGGAGTGAGGGTCCCCGCCGGACCCACCACCTGAGGGATCAGGAGAGGCCGGCTGCCCATCTCTGCTCCAGGGCCCCTGAGGCTCCCTGGGAAGGTCCCAGGACCAGATGGCTGCGGGGTGTCCCTGCGGAGCCCTGGGGCCCAGTGGGTGGCAGCTGTCTGCTTGACGCAGCTGTTCCCCTCGGCAGTCAGCTGTGGTCTGGGCTGCCATGCCCGGGGCCACATCTGACCATGTGAGGACAGTGGGCACAAGCGGCCGAGCAGCTGGGCAGGCGAGGGCTGGAGAGATCTGGGCCAGAGGGCTGGGTGTGGGCTGGCAGCCTGCACAGAGGTCTCCAGGGAGGGGAAGCAGAAGTGAGCGAGCGCAGACAATGCTGGAGACTTACTGAGTCTGGTCCTGGCACCCGCTGGGGGGGTTGTTGCAGAGAGGGAACACTGTCCAGGCCAAACAGCCAGGAAGGGTCAGAAACAGGCTGGAGCCATGTGCCCTGCTGCCCAGGCCAGCACAATGGCTACTAAACAGAGTGGCCTCTTTCCCTGGCTGGAGGAAGCCGGCTGGGGCACCGAGGGGACAGCCGGCTCTGACCTCTGGCCTGTGATTCTGACACACGGAATTCTCCAAGTGAGAGAGCAGCGGGTTCATCAGAGGGCATGGGCAGGGCCTGGGACCTGGGCAGCCTGGAGGGGAGGGCTGTAGTCCCCCTGTGGGCGGGCACATCAGACCCAAAGGCCAGCCGTCCATGCTGATGTCCACATGCTGCCCCTCCAGGTAGCCAACGCAGCTTCTGATGGACTTTCACGCCTGGACCTCGATGCTCTGGACAGCAGGCCGCCAGGGCTTACCCCCGACAATGATGTCAGTGCAGCCCAGCCCCGAGAGGCACCCCGGCCCCTCATGCCTCCCACCAAGCCCTCCCCGGCTCCCGAGGTGACCGTCCTTGGTGACAGAGTGGAAACCCCTGTGGGGCAGAGAGCCCCAACCCCTGTCTCCGCAAGCTCTGAAGGGCAGCCTGAGAGCCAGCAAGACTCAGAGACGGCCGTGGGCGAGGACAGTGCCTCTGAGCAGCTCCCCAGGGTCCTGCCTGAGAAGCTGAAGGTGAGCTGGGACAACTCCACCCCTGAGGAGCCCCCTGCGCCTGAGAGTGCGGGGCCAGCCGAGGCGCCCTGTTCTGAGACTTCCGAGGCTCCGACCAAGGAGGCCGGGAAGCCCCCCACACCCCCTCCCAAGATCCTATCGGAGAAACTGAGAGCCTCCATGAGTGGGGTGGAGGCTCTGGAGCCAGCCCAGAGTCCCGGGGCCTCCGAGCCCTCTGCCCCCGGCTCAGCACAGGTTTCAGTGAACGGCGTGGACGACAGTCCCGAGCCTGCCGAGCCATCCCAGGCTGCTGGCGCTCCGGGAAGCCCCCCAAAGAACGCAACGGCTTCTACAGTGTTCCCCTGGGACCTGCCATCTCAGATCCAGCCCCGCCGCTCCTCCATGGGAGACCTGCTTGGGGAAGGCCCCCGGCGCCCGCAGCAGCGGCTGTTCCGGGCCCAGCTGGAGGTGCAGGTGGCCTCCGAGCAGACGGAGAAACTGCTGAACAAGATGCTGGCCGGCGAGCCGGCCCCGGTGAGCGCCGAGACGCTGCTCAGCGAGGCCGTGGAGCAGCTGCGGCAGGCCACCCAGGTCCTGCAGGAGATCCGAGATCTGGGAGACCTAAGCCAGGAAGCACCCGGGCTGCGGGAGAAGCGGAAGGAGCTGGTGACCCTCTACAGGAGAAGTGCACCCTAGGGCCTGCCGTGCCGGGGGCGGTCCCTCCTGGCTGGAGTTCACCGGAGCCCAGGCCTGCCCAGAAGTGTGCTTCTGCTCGGGCTGCGGAAGGGCCATCGTCGGACATGTCAGTGTTTGGCCGGGACCCTTCCTGCCTTGCCTTGGCCGGTGGTGCAGGTGTCACCCAGGCCCACGTCTGGCCCTGGCTCGGCGGGGAGCACACGCTCAGGACCTCTGCGCTTCATGGTTGTTCCAATCTGGCCCCAGGGCTTCGGCCCAGCACTGGGGGTCTGGGGGTGGCATCATCTCTGCTTCTCACCCCCGGTAGTTTACATTCCTGACTTCTGAACAGAGCACAGCTGAGCCCCCCACAGCCTCTATGTCCAGATACTCCCAGGCAGACAGCCTCCTGGCAAAGGCAGCTTCAAGGCGTAACCAACCCTCCTGCCCACCCCTTCCCAGCAGCTGCTGACGCCGTGGGTCTAGGCTGTAGGTTCACCCCTCAGCTGCAAGCCCCTGAAGGCGGGTCGGAGGCAGGTGTGAGAAAGCCACTTGCTGTGGGCCCTCTCTGGGCCTTCCTGTTCTGCAGGCCTTCCCTGGGGGGTGTGACGGGAGGCCTCCGCGGGGAGGAGGAACCTGAAAGGTCTCCTCGTCCAGTCCCTGCCACTGGACCGGCTGGTGTCCAGCCCCACGCATTCCTCTGCAGGTGAACTTCAGAGCGGCCGATGTCAATGTCAGAAAATCCCGTATGCGATTCGTTCTAAATCAGCCTTCAGAAGAGAAGCTGCCCCAACTTCTGTGCCTCCCCAGATGGATTTACATCTGGGTCCACAACCAAACAGGTCCAATATCCCAGTCATTTACTCTTACGCTGAGGGGTATGCTGGGGCCTCACCCCTGGCTCAGGCCCTAGATGGGCTGCGCTTCCTGAGCTTCCCAGTGGGAGGAGAGTTTTCTCCTGGGCCTCTCAGAGCCCCTCCCTGGCTCCAGGAGCACATCTGGCCCCCATCCTGCTGCAGCAGCTGGACTGAGGGCAGAGCCCTGAGGGCTGCAGCCACTCTCCCTGGGCCCGTGGGAGCGGGAGCAGCTCCTCACAGGCTTGCTCAGGGGGTTCTGCTTGTGCACTTTCGTTTACTGAGAGAGGAGGCAGAGGGCCACAGCTGTGCGCTCTGGCCTTTCTGCCCGCTGCCCACCCCCTGCCACCAGTAGTGCCCACTGAGGCCTGCCAGTGCAGGCCCGTGCCTTCTTTCCTGTACTTCTACCTGTTCTTGAGGGCAGTAGCCAGGGGTCAGGAGGGCAGATAGAGGTCTACTCTGTAGTCCGACTGGGCAGGCATGGGTGTGAGCAGCAATGCTGGGACTCATGAGCACCATGGGTCTTCCCAAACCACACTCTTTGGAAAAACCAGGCTCCCATGCCACGTTCTGCCTGTCCGTCTGTCTCCAGTGTGAGAGCAAGAACGCCATCAAGTACCCGCAACCACGTGGCCCCTGTGGTCTTGCTTTGGGGAACAGCCCTCCTGTGAGGGCTGCTGGGCTTTAGCCTTTCACCTGCTTGCAGGGACAAGAGCCTCACTTTCCCCTCTGATAAGTGACCAGGTTGAGGGGGCACTTAGTGGCCTAAGGCCATTGGCTCCTATAGGGTTCCCGGACCTGGGCAGCCTGGGTCCCAAGGGGGAAGCCAGCGTCCAGGGGAGGGAGGATGGGAAATGGGCAGGGGCTGCCTTCCTGCCTCTGGAAGGGGATGGCATTCCATGTCTTATGCTTACGAAGCGCCTTTCTTGAAGTTTGGCAATAAATCCCTTTTTATGGAACTTTTCTGCCGCAAGCCTGTTTGTTGGTGTGGGGCCAGCTCCAGGGTGACCTCAGGGAAGCAGGGGCAGGAGGTTGCGGTGGCCTCACCGGTCCCCGTGCCAGCCCACCCTTCCACAGGCCGGGCGGGGCGTCGCCCTCCACGGAGCTCCGCTTCGATATGTCACCGCGCAGTTCTACGGGCTGGGGCTGTCTTAGGAACAGTGCGTTTCAATTTTTAAAAGCTTTATTTGGAAGTTTCAAACAGGAAGGTTGAAAAAGTAAGAGTAGCACATAGAACACCATTGCACTCATACCCTGATTGACTCACTGGTTTATCTTTTGAGCCTTTCACTCTCTAACATATGTACACACAACTTTTTTCTGAGTCATTGGAGAATTATGGCCCCTTACCCCTGAATACTTCAGAGTGTATTTCCTAAAAATAAGTGTATTCTCCTATGTAACCATAGTATAGTTGTCAATTTCAGAAAACTTAACATCAGTATAATAGTGACTATTCCCATTACAATTTGTCAATAATGTCTGTTATCATATTTTTCTAGTGTAGGGTTGGATATTGCTATTGCATACATGTCTCTTTAGTCTTCTTTAATCTGAAATGTTCACACAGCTTTTATCTTTCATGACATGGACATTTTTGAAGAATACACTTTCTCCCCATATATATATATATATATATATATATATATATATATATATATATATATTTTTTTTTTTTTTTTTAATTCTCACCAGAGGATATGCTTTCTATGATTTTAGAGCGAGGAAGGAAAAGAGAGAGCAAGAAACACTTGTGGAGAGAAACCTCCATTAGTTGACTCCCCATATGCCCCTGACTGGGGATTGAACCTGCAATCCTTTGGTGTACGAAGAACACTCCAGTCAACTGAGCCACCCGATTAGACACCCCCTTCCCTCCCTCACCAACCCCCATCTTTTTTTTTCTTTTTAAATATATTTTATTGATTTTTTTACAGAGAGGAAGAGAGAGGGATAGAGAGTTAGAAACACCGATGAGAGAGAGTCATTGATCAGCTTGCCTCCTGCACATCCCCACTGAGGATATGCCTGCAACCAAGGTACAAGCCCTTGACCAGAATCGAACCTGGGACCTTTCAGTCCGCAAGCCAACGCTCTATCCATTGAGCCAAACCGGTTTCGGCCCCCCATCTTTTTTTTAATAGAATATTCCTCACTTTGAGTTTGTCTGAGTCTCCTCACAATGAGATTGAGGTTATGGGTTCAGAAAACTGCACAGGTGCTCCTAAGTCCGCAGGGCATCACAGCTGCAGACACACATCCATCTGCCCTTCATTGGTGTTAATTTTGATCACCTGGTCAGGTGTCTGATTTCTCTACTGGAGATTTAGAACTTTTCTCTTGTAACTAATAAATAATCTGGGAGACACTTTCAGACCATGCACAAATATGTTGCACCTCATCAAATATACCCCGTAGATTCAGCCTCCATTGAGAATTCTTATCTGCACAGGTGTTTCCTAGGATGGTTCAAAACGATCCCAACGGCTACTTTAACTTGGAACCTCGTTCTGGTTAGGGGTGAGCCTGGGCCCCACCTTATGCCAACGGTACCCCTAAGACATCTCAGCAGGACCCCAGGACTTCACTGAGCGTTCTTTGGCTCCAAGTCAAGCTGCTGAAGGTCATGTTCCACCCAGGGACTTGGGTGAGTCTCAGACTCGGGGGTCTCAGTTTCCTCACCCACGAAAAGGGAAGGGCACTGCTCCCCACTTCCCCGAGTGGGAAAGCACCACTGTGCTCCCCAAAGGCTGCCTCCCTTGCTCCTCTGAGGGCTGGTGGACAGTCCCAGTGGCCAACATAACAGGAAGCACCTGATCCGGGCCTATCGCCTATAGCTGTGACCCCATGTCCCTCCTGAACTCCCCTGCACTGGCCTGACATGGCAGCCATCCTGAGAGCCGCCTGCAGAGGCTGGAACACCCCCAAGCAAATCATTTCACTTTCATGGCCAAAGCGAGGGAGAGGAGTCCCTTTATTGACGGGGGTGTTCCTCGCACCCTGGCCCAGAAAGAAGGCCCCCTCTGGGACGGCTGCCGGGAAGGTGTCTGTGGCCAGCCACAGGGCAGGAAAGGATGTGGTGAAAACTTGCTTTCCCTCTGGTCCTGGGGCGGTGCAGGGAAGGCCTTCCTTTGGAACCCAGGCTGTGTTATCTCCGTGGCCCCACGTCCTGGGGGCAGTTTCGGTCCATGGTTCTGCACATCACAAGGTGGCCACCTTCAGACAGGACCCCGACTGAGCAGGGGCTGGTGGGGGAGGGGCACCCAGCTTGCCCCTCTCCGCCCCTGCTTGAGCCTGGGGCTTTCTGGAGCTGCCATGTTTTGTGTTCTCTTCCAAGCCCTGTCTTCCGGCCTCTCCTCACTGCATGAGACATGAGACAGGGTGTCCAAAAGGCCACACAAACCCACTCAGTGGAGGTTTCTCTGTGTTGTGAGGAGGGTCTGTGGGGGAACATAGGTGATAGAGAGGTAATGGTGGGAACTCTTCCCTGTTCTCATAATTTTATTAAAGGGACAACATTTCTGGAGGAAATAGCTGGGTGTAAGTAGAAAAGCTACAATTTCAGATTTGGAGGCGGACATGTCCCAGCCGTGAATAAGTTACCTTAGGCAAACTGTGCCTCAGTTTTCCCCGTCTGTAAAATGGGCTAATTCGCCTTTCTTCACAGGGTTGCTCTCAGCCGGTGGCCCGCCTCAGAGAAAATGGTTAATAAACCCCAGCGGCCTGGCCCCACAGAGCAGCTACTGTCTGGCAGGCCTATGTTGGTCTCTCCTTGTCACCACGTGGCCTCATGAGGAAGATATATTTATATTCACTCCATTTACAGGCTAGGAAACCGAGGCTTACACAATTTGCCTAGGAGACCACAAGTCAGTTTTGGGATCTAAGACTCGCCCCACTAGGGTCCTGGCCTGGGGCCGCCATCAACTGCTTTCTGCTTTTTCTCTGGAGAGTCTGTGACTTCAGATGGACACTCCGCTCAGGTGACCTCTTGCAGGCCCGGGGGAGCCCCACCTCTCCTGGCACCGGAGGATCCCCCTGGGCTGGCCTGGCTCTCCACCAGCCAGCTGTGGCCCAAGAGGGCTCTGGAGGCCCTTCCCTTATAAGGGCAACAACTGAGCTGTGATGAAATGGCTCTGCAGCCCAGCTGGTGGGCGGGGAAGGGAAATGACAGGCTCCAGAGGCTACAGCTGAGCACTCGGCCTCCACAGGAACTCGCCCTGAGCCTCCTCTCTCCCCTTCCTGTGTCTGAGCTGCGCCCAGCGGGGCTTTCCAGTGGGTCTCACTAACCGAGGGCAGGAGGAGCCAGAGCCTGGGGGGCCAAATCATAAAGGGATGGAGGCACGGGTGGGGCTGGCCAAGCCCATCCTCCTCCTTCCTTGCCGTGTCCCTGGTAAATTGCCATCACCAGCAAAATCACCAGCCCACTCTCCGTCTGAGAAACTAATCACGGGCTCACAGGATATCAGCCCTGATAAGGATCTTTAAGCCCATCTAATCCCTCCAGGGTTTAGAGAGGAGGAAGTAACAGCTCAGAGGGAAGATGTGAACTTGCCCAGCTGTACTGTAAAATTAAAAAACATTACATATATATGTTATATATATAAGTTTTATATATACACGCATGTGTGTGTGTGTGTTTTATAAATTATATATGTATAAATAAGTTTGGGGGGCTTTTCCTTGGTTTCATATTAAAAGTTTCTTTTTTTTTTTTTAGCCGGACTGGTTTGGCTCAATGGATAGAGCATCGGCTTGGGGACTGAAGGGTCCCGGGTTCGATTCTGGTCAAGGGCACGTACCTTGGTTGCAGGCAGATCCCCAGTAGGGGGTGTGCAAGAGGCAGCTGATCGATGACTCTCTCTCATCGATGTTTCTAGATCTCTATCTCTCTCCTTTCCTCTCTGTACAAAATCAATAAAATATATATATTTTTTAAAAAGTTTCTTTTTAAGAAATCCCAACTTTCCCGGCGGGCGGGCATGGCTCAGTGTTTGAGTGTCAAACCGTGAACCAGGAGTCACGGTTTGAATCCCATTTAGGGCCCAGGCCCAGGTTGCAGGCTCCATCCCCAGTGTGTACAGGAGGCAGCTGATCAATGATTCTCTCTCATCACTGATGTTTCTTTCTCTCTCTCCCTCTCCCTTCTCCTCTGAAATCAATAACAACTTTTAAAAAAAGGAAACATCAATTTAAAAAAAATTCCAACTTGTTTAGCTGAATAAAAGCACAAGGGCTGTTCCACACCCAGGTCAGGTTAGCTCAGGGGATTGGTGGTTCCCCGGAGACCACGTCTGGGGCGAGAGGTGAGGCCAGTTCCCGAGGGAGAACCCAGTGTGGCCGGTGGACCATCGTTCTCCCTCGCCGCTGTGCCCACACTGCGCAGCCTCTCCGAATGCCGTGCGTCTCCTGAGGGCAGGGTGATTCTGAAGAGAAAACGAGGTAATTTAGGTAAAGCACCTCGCTCAGGGCCTGGCACGTGGAGGAGGCTTAGTAAATGCGTAACCATACTGTGTGCCGGGCACCTGCTCGGTGCCAGCCTTGCCTTAGGGGCTGTGGGCTTCAGGTACAATAACGTGGGATCCCTTCCCAACCGGCAGCCGCCCGCAGGC